GCTCCCGCTACCGATCGAACTAGCGAGAATGGCGGGACAGGCGGGATAAGCCCTGCGATCGACCCGCCCTAGGTGTCGTTAATTGGCCAAGATTGTTGTCAATCTCACCACCTGACCTCAATTCCTAACTCCTATTGGGTAATCCTTCATCACTCCTCCACTCTTATTGGCCTTTAGGCGGCTAATTAGCCGACCTACAACCGTTCCTGCCTCCGCCGCCATAGAGACCGGAACTAGAATTAGAGTAGTCACCACGAGAACCATAGAGTACCCGAGAGGACGGGCAGAGAGAACGTGACTTTCACGAGGCTGCAGCTGGGGCGCGCGGGCCCATCGTTCAGGATTGTGCCCGGGCCAAGTAAAGGGCATTACCAAACACCTGGACCGAGATTACCTGGCTTGATCCAGTGAGCTTGGAAAGGGATCTGACATCTTGGCTCCTCAAGGAGAGGCGGTCTCCCTCCCTCCGTGCTCCAAGGCCTTTACCTCGGGGAGAGAGCTGGCTTTTCTTTAATGGCCGTGTACTCTCCGCACTACAAGGGTTTCTAGAACTGACAAATGTCTGTGCTTGAAGAGCTTACGCTTTGGGCGGTATCACCTTGGAGGGACCAAGCAGGCGCTCAGGTCCCCTAGGCTCAGTATGTTTAGGGCGGGAGTGTTCTCCGTGGGACCTGCCTTCCGATCTATTTTACTAGGGATATAAGGCATATATAAGTAATGTCTCTTAAGAATTCAAGTCGTTTTGTATTAGCCACAAATCAGATTTAATTTCAGCTCACGTTTTTAGACAAGCTAGATAGACTTCTTTATCCCTTAATCAGCGAGGACTGCAATCCATGTTTTACAAACGGTAAAATTGAGGCTGCCGCCTGATGTTCTTCATTTACCTTCATTCATTCTTTATTCAGCGTCCACTAATGCCTGGGGATGGAATAGTTTGTGAGTCAGTTTCTGCCTTCTGATGGAGGCAAAAATTTAAGCACTCAACACTCCATAGCTACAAAAGCACAAAGCAAGACGCCTTGTGTTTTGGAAATGGAAGGAGAGGAGAGTGCTGACTTTTCAGGCAAAGAAAGGTTTACATAAAAACCTAAAGCCATGAAGAGGTGGGCCCTCAAGGGAAATGCAAATAAAGTAGTTCAATTAGACTAGAGTTGTAGAGGTGGGCAGGATCAACTAGGTGCATTTAACTTGAAATTTACCCTGAGGGTCACTAGTGAGAAGGGCAATTTTAGATTTCTAAGGAATGGTATCTTTAAAAAATAAATTAGCTAATAAATTAATAAATAAATGGCCCTGAATGGAGAATGGTTTAAAGGAGGGAAACCAATTAAATGGCTGGTGTAATAGTCCTTACTCCCTATCAGTTTAATCTAGGCCTGTCATTCCACCACCTAAAAAGCCTCCTGGAACCAGCCCTGAAAAGTCTGAATGTGGATCCAGTCTCTTCATTCTTCTGCCACTACACTAGACCATCAACAACTGTTGCTTTACTGGCAAAACTTTTCTGCAAGGGCTGGCCAAATAGTATTTAAAGCTTTGTGGGTTATTGAGTTCTAACTACTCAACTTTAGATCCTGAAAGCAGCCATAAGTACTCTGGAAAAAAAAAATATGGACACTGAGTTTTGAATTTCTTGTAATCTTCACATGCTGCAAGAGAATTTTCAACTCTTTAAACATCTAAAAGCCATTCTTATCCTCAGGCTTATAAGCCACAGAAAAACAGGAGATCTGGCCTGCCAGATCCTGACCCCTGGCTTAGAGCACTGTTATGACCTCCTAACCAGTCTCTCCTTCTTTTTCAATGTAATATTCCCCACCACAATAGTGTTCTTTTGAAAATATCTGATCTTAACACCATTACTTTTAGGACAGTACAAAGTCCTTAATTCCTCTATGACTTCTCTAACTTATCTCCCCATTCTTTCACATTCCTTATCCACCCTTCCAGGGGCTTTTTTAAGCCATTGCTTCCTTCAGACTATCACAATTTATTCTCTGTAACACTTCCTTTCCCCTTCTCCTTTGTTTGCTTGCTTCATCTTTTAGGTTCAGATATTAATAGGAGTCCCTCCCTCCTAACCTCATACACTCTTCTGCTCCCCATCATACTGTAAATTCCCGAGCATCTAGCCTAGTGCCTAACATAATACTTAAATACATATGTTAAATAACATACTACAGAAATGAATCAAAAAGGTTCGGATGCAGAAAGATTATCTGGGAAGCTGTACCAGTAATGCATGTGGAAAGCTAGTGGCAACAATGTGTGTGAAAAGTAGGTGGATTCCACAACTGCTATTCATTTGTCCCAGTTCCATATGACTTTTGAATGTAAAAAAGGTTATCTTTCCTGAAAAGGCTGTTCTGCCAACTCTGAGTACCTCAATTTTTTGGTGGCACTGGGACTTGAACTTAGGACTTCACATTTGCTAGCCCATCAGTGAGGACTTTAAAAGTACGCCCCACAGGCTCAAGCCTGTAATCCTAGCTACTCAGGAGGCAGAGATTAGGAGGATCACAGTTCAAAGCCAACCCAGGCAAATAGTTCTGGAGACCCTCTCTCAAAAATACCCATCACAAAAAGGGCTGGCAGAGTGGCTCAAGGTGAAGGCCCTAAGTTCAAGCCCCAGTACTACAAAAAAAAAAAAAAAAATGCCCTACAGGCTTGAGGCCTTTTCCCAAAGCTGAGTTACAAAGACACTTAGAAGATGGCAGTAGCACCCCTAAGAATAAACACCCTCCCATGTAACTGCTTTGTAGGGATGCCTTCTGAAGCAGAAATAAAAATTCTGTAACATTTGTCTTTAAAATGTTACTTAGAAAAGCATAACTCACTCAGTTACTTTATTCAGTTCTCTTCATGCTCAATGAGCATGACATGAAATGTGAAGAATGAAAGTAGTTTTCTTATAGCCTTTTTTTTTTCTTGGTGGCATGGGGTTTGAACTCAGAGCCTCATGCTTACTGGCAGGTGCTCTTACTGCTTGAGTCACTCCACCAGCCCTGTTTTGTGTGTGTGACGGTTTTTTTCAAGATAGGGTCTTTTGAACTATTTGCCCAGGTCTGGCTGTAAACTGCTATCCTTCTAATCCCTGCCTCCTCAGTAGCTAGTTAGAATTATAGGCATGAGCCACTGGCGCCTGGCTGTAGCCACCTCTTTTACCACTATAGAGATGGTACTGGTGCCCCATAGAACCAACAGCTCATGTTGAAATTCATCGCCTGTCCCAAGTGGAAGATCTCCACTGAGTTCTGCTAGTCTGTCACCCAGGAGCTAACACCACCCAAATATCCATAGTGACCATACTACACACAATTCCAGTTGCTGCCTTTAAGTAATATAAGGGGCAAGAGGACTCATCCAAAGAACCTCCATGGCAGAATAACTTTCACCTTGTCCCCCATCTCTGAGTGATCTAGGAACATAGTTAACTGTTCCTTACTCTGCTCTGGCTAATTCCAATCAATCTTACTTCAGACATCAACTGTTCCAACAATCCTTTTTTGACCTTTGCCTCTCACCTTGTCTCTCTACTCTACTCCTGCAACATCTTGTACCCACCATCATTCATATGACACTATTTATTGAGCACCTACTAGATATTAGGTGCTTAGCTCTTCCAGGTGTTGGGAATAAAGCAGTTTAAAACAAAACAAAACAAAAACAGACTACATCTGCTGCATTCATAAAGGCACACACTCTAATACCTTCTTGAGCTGAAACTGTGCCTGTCTCCTGTCACAAGCGTGGACCTTATCTTACTCATTCTTGAAGCTTTAATGCAAAGGACAGAGACGGGCATGGAATGTAGGACGAGCCAGGCATAAATGAATAGCCCATTATAAGAATATCAGCTCAATATCACAGCTGTCCATTCACCTTCCCATCTCTTTACAATTCCACCCTATCTAGTTAACTTAAAGATCTCCAGGAGTCTTTTACTACATTGGGTCCTCAGAAGCCTGTTTACATAGCTAGAAAAAGTGGCAAAGATCTGCACTTAGAGCCTTTGTGTATCTATCTCCTTAGGCCCCAGTACACTGAAAAGGCACTTATAACAAGATTCTGTTCTGTCACAGAATTCAGTTATTACCTCGACTGCTGTAGCTATGAGGCATCTCTGACCATGAGTCAGGAGAAACAAAGTAGGAATTGAGAGAACACAGAAAAGTCCTCATGAAAGGAACACTTTCCTCCCTCTTTAACATACTCAGTGGGATCTTTGTTACGTTTTGCCATTTACTTTCAAAACTAACATGTTCCAAGGCATGTTACTACTCACAAGATACCTTCAACAACACTACAAACTACATAGGTTTAACATCCCCATTTTACAGATGAAATAACTGGAGCTCTGAAAAGGTAACTTCTTAAAACCTTCACTATTTAAAAATAACTCCAGGTTAAAAAATTTTTCTAAGTGATTTCCACTTTATCATGTTCAAGACACAGTCTACCAGATGGTCTCCTATCCCAAAACACCCCAAGTCAGTATTTCTTCTCTCACAGACTCCAGAGGTAACCAAATAGGACCTACTGGGAACATCTTTGGAATAAATAGTGCTATAAGGCCTTGTGGCTTTGTCTTCCTTTCCAATCAGCTTGAACCTAAGAGGGGAATGCTAAAACAACTTGCAAGTCAGAGGCACCAACTATACATAGCAGGCTCTTGGCCTGGTCCATATGGCCTCCAAGGAGAGCCAGTCCTCCTAGTTGAAGCTGAGGCAGTGAGGAGACAAGGCTATCATTATAACCATTTAAAAACCACACATGTACACACACACACACACACACAAATAAAAAACCAAAGCACATTAAAAAAAAGAATCCTTTATTTACAGTTAAAAGTCTTAGTTCTGAATCTGTATACTTCCAGGGTCTCTTAATCAAATGGAGCAGTAGCAAGCAGGCAAGCAAACACAGGGGCCAGTCCAGTTTGTCTGACTCAAGAACATCACCCAGAGTGAGGGAAGGCCTACAATGGCAGAGACAGGGAGGTCAATGTGGGGGACAAAGAGATAAGCAGATCAAGGGAACCACAAGGAGACATTTCATGAGAGACAGTGTTCTCACCTCTCTACTACACTCCCAATCCTCTTTTCCCCAGAGTAGAACTGGTCTCACTCTCACCAGAGGTCAGACCTTTGATTCCCCAGAGCCAAGTGGAGACGTTACACAAGAACCATGAAGCAACACTTGTGACCAAGTATATTGTCTCATTTATTAATCACCCTTCACAATTCTGTACAGTATGTATTATCTCTATGCAAAGAAGCAAACTAGAATCCCAAAAGGTTTAGAGGCTTGACTAAGATCACCAAGTTAAGATAGTGGTAGGGCTTCTTGGTCTGCTTAACTGGCTCCAAGGTCTATGTCTTTTTTAGTCACAGCTCTTTGTGGATCTTCAGAACAAAGACCAATCCTTCTGTTTTGCAGGTTTTAGTCCCAGGAGTACAGAAAAATAAAAGTCCACACACTGTTTATTGCCAGGGAGTTCACTATACTAAAAGAAGAGAGTAGTACACTCAGTATACAACCATCCCCTTCTCTCACCACTCCCTAAATGTGGCCACACCCTCCTCTGGGGGGATAGTGAGATCTGGCGTCATACTGCAGGAAACCCTGGGCCCTCAACCAGAGTGTATAAAAACGAGTAAGTACAATTTGAACATTTTAGGGTGCACCAGCATTCAAGCTCTATTAGGTTGTGTTAGTCAACATGATCCTTGCTTCAAATAGGTCTCAGTCCAGAGAAAAACAGACCAACACATTTGTGATACACTGTGCTAAAGGCTATAATGTAAGGAGGAACAATGTGTTGAGAGAGTACCCAGGCTGGAACCCCTAGCTAGGAACAGGACCTGGGAGGAACAGGTGGAGAGAATAGGATAGGACTTATAAAGTGATATTAGGCACTGCTATACACATACTTCTGAGAGGGCTGGGAGAACTGGAATTAATTAAAAGTACAGTTATATATAACATATATAAGCTATATAGTTAAAACTACATATATAAGCTGGGAGTTGGGGTGCACACTGTAATCTTCACCACTTGGGAGGCTGAGGCAGGATGATTTCAAGTTCGAGGCCAGCCTAGACTACATAGAGATCTGTTTCAAAAAACAAATGAGCAAAACACATATATATATACTTCCTTTGTAAGGTGCATGCTCAATGTAGGAAATTCAAGTATAAGTAAGAATATAAACTGAAAAAGTCTCTGTTACTTATCACTGAAGAGATTTCTGAAATAGTTACACAATATAAGTAGTGCAATGTTTAAACAGTGTACTACATCTTGACTCAATTTACCTTAGAAATCTCGCCAACACATACAGAACTATCTCTTTCTTTTTGGTAAGGCTGAATAGTATTCCATGGAAGAGACTGGTGTGTAAAACCTGGTTACAATGTAGCAGCTTTGCTTCTCTGGAATGGAATCAGACATTCTCCCCTCCCCTGTTCTTTTAGCTGGCAGAGCTTCTAACTTTCAGAGCTGGAAACAATGTCACCTAGTAGACAAGCAAGTATGAGCTGTCAAATCTCTAGGATACCACTGAGCACCTATTTTCACACAGAACCTATTCTCTTTTTTTTTTTTTTTTTTGGACTACTGCAATGACTCCTAGGCTCCAGTCCATCCTTTACTTCAATGTCAGAATCATCTTCTGAAGAAGAAAATTCAGTTGTAACATTGTCCTGCTAAAAATCTTTTAGTGACTCCCACTGGCCTGGTTCTTAATGGAAGGTCAGGCTCTCAGGAGCAAAATGGACTCTTCCCAGGTGGGAGGTGACTTTCAGGAAATAGCCCAATAAACTGCTCAGCCTGGTACTATTCTCAAAACTGGTCCTGGCCTTACTCCAGCTACATCTTTTTCTTATTTTCCCATATTGAATTACTTGTAGCTTCCCCTATACTTCCTGCTGTTTCTGGCTTTTATGCCTTTGTACATACTGTACCCTCTGCTTGGACTGTCCTCCTTAGACTAAGTCTTGACAATTTCTATTCTTTCTTGTACAGTTTCAGCTGTCTCTCCAAACCACTCCAGATAGACCCAGGCTTCCACACTTTCCTTACCTTGTTCTTAAACTTCTAATCCAGCCCTTTACTGTACTGTAGTTGTCAGTTTTCCCAAGAAACTGAGCTCTTTGAAGGAAGGAACTGGGCTTCTCAGATTTGTAGACTCATACATAGCATGGGACACATTTCAATTAGTGCTTACTTGTACAGCTCAACTGCCACCAATGCACTTTCACAATCTTCCCTTATAGGAATGTATCATGTCTCCAGGTAATTCCAGAATGTGGGATAGTGTCTCCTAGACTTTCGTTCAAATAGCACCTTCATAGCTGTTAAAATATCTACCATCCACAGGTACAACTAATTTAACATAATCACTATTTGAATTTTAATACTGTCTCACTTTAAGTTATAACAACTGTAAAGTTAATTTCCTCTAAAATACAAATATTAAAAAAATAAAGTGTTTCCTACATCTTTGATAAGCAAGGGAGGGACCTGGGAATTAGGCTTAACAAGTGCCCACAAAAGCTTCTCAACTACAGGAGAGTTTGGGCAACAATGAACTGAGCAAAGTTCTCTGCCGTAGCAGGATATAAAATCAACATAGAAAAATCATTAGCATTTCTATACACTAACAATGAGCAAACTGAAAAAGAATGTATGAAAACAATTCCATTTACAATAGCCTCAAACAAAATCAAATACCTAGGTGTAAACCTAACAAAAGATGTGAAAGACCTCTATAAGGAAAACTATACACTTCTGAAGAAAGAGATTGAGGAAGACTATAGAAAGTGGAGAGATCTCCCATTTCTATGGATCTATGGATTGGTAGAATCAACATAGTAAAAATGTCGATACTCCCAAAAGTAATCTACATGTTTAATGCAATTCCCATCAAAATTCCAATGACATTCATTAAAGAGATCGAAAAATCTACTGTTAAATTTATATGGAAACACAAGAGACCACAAATAGCCAAGGCAATACTCAGTCAAAAGAACAATGCAGGAGGTATCACAATACCTGACTTCAAACTATATTACAAAGCACATGAAAAAATGCTCACCATCTCTAGCAATAAAGGAAATGCAAATTAAAACCACACTAAGATTCCACGTCACCCCTGTTAGAATAGCCATCATCAGCAACACCACCAACAACAGGTGTTGGCGAGGATGCGGGAAAAAAAGGAACCCTCTTACACTGTTGGTGGGAATGTAGACTAGTACAACCACTCTGGAAAAAAATTTGGAGGCTACTTAAAAAGGTGGACATCGATCTACCATTTGATCCAGCAATACCACTCTTGGGGATATACCCAAAAGACTGTTACTCCAGAGGCACCTGCACATCCATGTTTATTGCGGCACTATTCACAATAGCCAAGTTATGGAAACAGCCAAGATGCCCCAGCACTGACGAATGGATTAAGAAAATGTGGTATCTATACACAATGGAATTTTATGCAGCCATCAAGAAGAACGAAATGTTATCATTCGCTGGTAAATGGATGCAATTGGAGAACATCATTCTGAGTGAGGTTAGCCTGGCCAAAAGACCAAAAATCGTATGTTCTCCCTCATATGTGGACATTAGATCAAGGGCAAACACAACAAGGGGATTGGACTATGAGCACATGATAAAAGCGAGAGCACACAAGGGAGGGGTGAGGATAGGTAAGACACCTAAAAAACTAGCTAGCATTTGTTGCCCTCAATGCAGAGAAACTAAAGCAGATACCTTAAAGCAACTGAGGCCAATAGGAAAAGGGGACCAGGAACTAGAGAAAAGGTTAGATCAAAAAGAATTAACCTAGAAGGTAACACCCACGCACAGGAAATCAATGTGAGTCAATGCCCTGTATAGCTATCCTTATCTCAACCAGCAAAACCCCTTGTTCCTTCCTATTATTGCTTATACTCTCTCTACAACAAAATTAGAGATAAGGGCAAAATAGTTTCTGCGGGGTATTGAGGGGGGGAGCGGGAGGGGGGGGAGGGGGTGGTAAGGGAGGGGGTGGGGGCAGGGGGGAGAAATGAACCAAGCCTTGTATGCACATATGAATAATAAAAGAAAAATGAAAAAAAAAAAAAAAAAAAGATTTTAAATCTTTAACAAAAAAAAAAAAAAAGCAATAACAATAAAAACAGCATGGTACTGGCACAAAAACAGACATGAAGACCAGTGGAACAGAATAGAGGACCCAGATAGGAAGCCACACAACTATAAGCAACTTATCTTTGACAAAGGAGCTAAAAATATACAATGGAGAAATAGCAGCCTCTTCAACAAAAACTGCTGGGAAAACTGGTTAGCAGTCTGCAAAAAACTGAAACTAGATCCATGTATATCACCCTATACCAACATTAACTCAAAATGGATCAAGGATCTTAATATCAGACCCCAAACTCTTAAGTTGATACAGGAAAGAGTAGGAAATACTCTGGAGTTAGTAGTTATAGGTAAGAACTTTCTCAATGAAACCCCAGCAGCACAGCAACTAAGAGATAGCATAGATAAATGGGACCTCATAAAACTAAAAAGCTTCTGTTCATCAAAAGAAATGGTCTCTAAACTGAAGAGAACACCCACAGAGTGGGAGAAAATATTTGCCAACTATACATCAGACAAAGGACTGATAACCAGAATATATAGGGAACTTAAAAAACTAAATTCTCCCAAAACTAATGAACCAATAAAGAAATGGGCAAGTGAACTAAACAGAACTTTCTCAAAAGAAGAAATTCAAATGGCCAGAAAACACATGAAAAAATGCTCACCATCTCTAGCAATAAAGGAAATGCAAATTAAAACCACACTAAGATTCCACCTCACCCCTGTTAGAATAGCCATCATCAGCAACACCACCACAACAGGTGTTGGCGAGGATGGGGAAAAAGGAACCCTCTTACACTGTTGGTGGGAATGTAGACTAGTACAACCACTCTGGAAAAAAATTTGGAGGCTACTTAAAAAGCTGGACATCGATCTACCATTTGATCCAGCAATACCACTCTTGGGGATATACCCAAAAGACTGTTACTCCAGAGGCACCTGCACACCCATGTTTATTGCGGCACTATTCACAATAGCCAAGTTATGGAAACAGCCAAGATGCCCCACACTGACGAATGGATTAAGAAAATGTGGTATCTATACACAATGGAATTTTATGCAGCCATGAAGAAGAAAAATGTTATCATTCGCTGGTAAATGGATGGAATTGGAGAACATCATTCTGAGTGAGGTTAGCCTGGCCCAAAAGACCAAAAATCGTATGTTCTCCCTCATATGTGGACATTAGATCAAGGGCAAACACAACAAGGGATTGGACTATGAGCACATGATAAAAGCGAGAGCACACAAGGGAGGGGTGAGGATAGGTAAGACACCTAAAAAACTAGCTAGCATTTGTTGCCCTTAACGCAGAGAAACTAAAGCAGATACCTTAAAGCAACTGAGGCCAATAGGAAA